TTTCTCTTATTATTCTTATTCTATTTCTTAATATACTCATTCTTTTTCTTCTTCTTCTTCTTCTTCTTCTTCTTCTTCTTCTTATTATTATTATTATTATTATTATTATTATTATTATTTTCTTTGATTTCTGGCATTTACACATTTCTTTCCGGGTCCCGCCCAGGGACCTAAGGTTAGAAAAGGCGTCATGACACTTTCCACTGACAAAAAAAAAAAAAAAAAAAAAATTACATAGATAAAGCCCTTCGTAAGGTGTGGGCTGTACTTGTCAGAACATTTTTTTGTATCTCCTTGAGGCATGGACTTCCAGGAATCCCTTCAATTAGTCTACTGCAATCTTTTTCAACCAGTCCTAGGGCTCCATCTACAACAGGGATTGTTGATGTTCCCATATGCCACATTTTCGAGATTTCTATTTCAAGATTATTATTATTATTATTATTATTATTATTATTATTATTATTTTCTTTGATTTCTGGCGTTTATACATTTCTTTCCGGGTCCCGCCCAGGGACCTAAGTTTAGAAATGGTATCATGACACTCCCCACTGATAAAAAAAAAATATTACTTAGATAAAGCCCTTCGTAAAGTGTACTTGTCAGAACAATTTTTTGTATCTCATTAAGGCATGGACTTCCAGGAATCCCTTCAATTAGTCTACTGCAATCTTTTCCAACCAGTCCTAGGGCTCCAACTACAACAGGAATTGTTTATGTTCCCTCTGCCTCTTTCGGATCTGGGCACATACAGACGATCGACATCAGCTTTGGGATGATGCATGCGGTAGCAAGTGAGAAGCTTTCTCGTTTTGGCGCCCATTCGCTTAATTTCAGCAATGGTCCAGTTAAGGACATTAAAGCTGTATTGCACCACAGGCACAGCCATTGTGTTTATGGCTGATATCCTGTTTTTTGAGTTTAGCTCAGTATTTAGTAATTATTATTATTATTATTATTATATCCCTTTTGTTGTTTCACTTCATTTTCTTTATTCTGTTTGTTTAATGTCATATATACATACACACACACATACACACACAAGTGTGTGTGTGTGTGTGTGTGTGTGTGTGTGTGTGTGTGTGTGTGTGTGTGTGTGTGTGTGTGTATAGTTTTGTTGAAGTAATATTCTGGAATAGTTTGATTTCTTTACGAAATAGTACGCTATTATATGGATTAATATCATAAAATAGTTTATTTCTTTTCATGTCATTTTTTTATGTATAATTGATAATTTTTACTTTCAATATGTATTTTTGGTCATTTTTATTGCTGCTATTTTTACTATAAAAATGTATTTTTATGCTTTTATAGTATTTTGTTTTAGTTTGAGGATCCACTCTTTGTCCAAAGCTGGGACACCCTAACAAGTGCTACCATCGGTGGGCCTGAGAACAAAAGCAAAAAAGCTCCTCAAAATATACCCCTTCATTTTTTTTTAGTCTGTTTGTCCCAGGGTATATATTGTTTACTTTTTTTATTCATCTGTTAAATTCATTCTCCGAATATATATATAAAGGCAAAAATCATTGCTAATGGTTTTACTCTAGGAATGCATTGCAAATGAGGAAGAAAGGGATTGTCAGTGGTCAGGAATTAATGCAAGCATTACTGATGCAATAGGTCTATTATGCTTATAATTTATTTACATTACAAATCATTTTACTATATGCATAAATTGCAAATGAATGAGAAATGCAGTTTGAATGACGGAGTCTTAATACCACCTTTACTAATTGAAAAACTTTCATATATATATATATATATATATATATATATATATATATTAAGGCAAAAATCATTGCTAATGATTTTACTCTAGACATACGATGCAGTCTGATAGAACAAGCAGTAGTCTAGAATTATTTTAAGCACTGCTGTGTTTGGTTTTAAAATGCCACGAGGAATTTTTATTTTGGTATTTATTTCCTAAAACGTTTGTTTTTACTTGATTTTAGCATTTTGAAAAGTTTCAACATCGCATTTTAAAAAAAAGTTCAAACATATAATCTTGTAAATAAAAATTCTCATAGGGTGTTATGAGAATGGTTTTGTTATCTTGAAAATAAATTTTCATTTGATAGGTTTTCATTAAAATTCTAATGAAATGCTTTGAAAACAATAAATATTAGCTAGATATTATACGGTAATAGCAATGTCAGCAGTAAACAGCTTTTTTGTTCCACATTTTTTAGATCGTTTTATGATAAACTCAATTTAAATGTTAATTTTTATGTTTTGAAAGAATTTAAAATTGACATATTATTCCGTCACGAGTCTAATATTAAAATCGTAAAAGGTAAGTAAATTTTTGTATATATTTTGATTATTTCTATTTGAAGAAAGATAAAACTCCAGCTCATATACATCAAGAAATTGTTTCGGTTATACGGAATATATTTTGAATTCTTAAGTGTCGGTTTGATCAGCTAAGGTTAATAGCGACAGCATAACGATATTTAGAGTGAAGGTCACATGGCAATGAAGAATACCAGGATTCTCGAAATATGCAAATCAAGACTCGAAAACCATTAGCAATCTCTTGATTACGTTAACCACTTCTTCTTCTTCTTCTTCTTCTTCTTCTTGTCGTGTTCCTTCGGGATGTAGACGATTATGGCTCCCCACAATTTCCTCTTCTTCGTACCTCTTAATAAATTTTCTCTTTGATATTTCTCCTAAACCTAGTTTCCTCAATCTCACTATGTTCGTCATGTCTTATTTTTTTCTTAATGAATATAAATACATTTTATATTATTGTATATATCAGAAATATTTAACCGTCGAATTAAAATCTAATCCCACGAAAATTGAATAAATTTATCCGTGTTTACATACGCAGATATTACTTAAATATAGAGCATAATTGTTGCTACTCCTTATCTGTAATTTTTTTTTTAAATTAAAGCGTCGAAAGATTACGAAGGATTACGTTGTGTTGCCATTTAGACTAAGTTACATTTGTTATTCGTGTACAGTTGTGGCTAGTCTGTTTTCAAAGTTTAACTTGTGAGGAAACCGTCCCCAAAATTTCTAAAGGTATTTTTTATACATCTTGTATATATACGCCATATTGAACGGCGTACATAGACATCATATCGTGAATGTAGAATCGCCGTTTGGAGATGAACTTTGTGTTATGGAATAAATCTTAATTTTCACTGTTTGATTGATATATTTTACGGTTTGTCAAACGTTTGCAGGTTATTTAAAGCCAGATGTTTTTTTTTTCACTGTAAGAATGTTTTGGGGAAATAATAATGATTTACTGATACTAGACCTACTAATTAATTCTAGGAATAGAAGAAATGGAATCATTACTTTCCTTACGTCTAAGTCAATATAACGAACCCGACTGGAATTGGAACACGGCTCTCCGATTAAAGGGAACAGAAGACACATAGAGAAAGACATAACTTCCAAAAATGAAGCCATATTGTTCATTGGAGTAGATGTTGAAAAAAAAATTAGTAGGGTTTGTACCAGAATACATTTTTCATCTACCAAAATATTCTTATAGCCCGCAAATATTTAACTGGCTTTAAATAAATATCTGGAAACTGAAAAGGGTTGATAAGCCGTAAAAAAACAATACAAATCAATCAAGGATAACTGCGTATTATACCATTGTAAGCTTAGAGAAATTTGATATCGTATAAGGCGCAGTAATTAATATACTGAACATAGTTAAAAGCATTATTTCTACTTTCGTTCTTTTTATTTCAACTGTTTTTAAAACCGATCGGGACGTGAGCGTGGCCCAGCTAAGATCGCTACTGGATCTAGGATAACCGCGTGGATTTTGTATTCCATCCGTAGCTTCGGGACGTGCTTTCTCTCACAGATACCTCTGGAAAGGTATGAAGCCGAGCTTCCTTAAACCGTGTGGTAAACTGGGCCAGTTTAAAAGAAAGATAACTTTAAATTCCAAATGGCATGATAATCTTAACTTTAAGCTTAATTTTATTCCATTCATATGTATGTGTGGAGTTACATCAAATAAAAGCATGACGGCAAATGGTATAAAATGTATATAGACAAATTTGTAACCTCTGTCTGTTTGTTTGTTATCAAAATCCTCCAAGGGCTTTGGAGATAGACCCCCATAGCCATATATATTCTGAATACATTCGTCAGGGTAAGTATATGACATTTTGATCAACTGGGGTCTCCGAGGAACACAAATCTCTGATTTATTTTTTTTCCTTTTGATATAAATAAAATTTAAAAATAAACAAAGGAATTACTCCTAGCAGAAGACGGAAAATATAACAGCAAAATCCAAAGGCAGATTTGGAAGGATTTAGCAAATACGTTGTCTAAAACTACAAGTATTAAGAAGTAATAAAAAAATCAACTTTAACCAACCTCCTACGTAATATCAGTCACTCTATATAACAATTAATGCTGGACAATTTCTTTACAGTTCTAAAGCTTCTACTGCGGATACCATAAAGAAGACAGATCAGTAATGACGATCCTTCAGTATTTGTCTATATTTCTGACATGAGGTATTATGTACATTATTTACATTATTCGGACTATTGTCCTCATCTTTGTCACCATATTTATTACAACGTTTCGGACTTTCAGTATCTGTCTATATTTCTGACATGAGGTATTATGTACATTATTTACATTATTCGGACTATTGTCCTCATCTTTGTCATATTTATTTCGTTTCGGCTTTCATATCTGTCTTATTTTGACAAGGTATTATGTACATTATTTACATTATTCGGACATTGTCCTCATCTTTGTCACCATATTTATTACAACGTTTCGGCCTTTCAGATGAGGTATTATGTACATTATTTACATTATTCGGACTATTGTCCTCATCTTTGTCGCCATATTTATACAACGTTTCGGCCTTTCAGTATCTGTCTGTATTTCTGACATGAGGTATTATGTACATTATTTACATTATTCGGACTATTGTCCTCATCTTTGTCGCCATATTTATTACATCGTTTCGGCCTTTCAGTATCTGTCTATATTTCTGACATGAGGTATTATGTACATTATTTACATTATTCGGACTATTGTCCTCATCTTTGTGACCATATATTTATACAACGTTTCGGCCTTTCAGTATCTGTCTGTATTTCTGACATGAGGTATTATGTACGTATTTACATTATTCGGACTATTGTCCTCATCTTTGTGACCACCATATTTTACAACGTTTCGGCCTTTTATCTGTCTGTATTTCTGACATGATTGTCATTATTTACATTATTCGGACTATTGTCCTCATCGCCATATTCATTACAACGTTTCGGCCTTTCAGTATCTGTCTATATTTTGACATGAGGTATTAGATTATTTACATTATGTACATTATCTTTGTCACCATATTTATTTCGGCCTTTCATCTGTCTATATTTCTGACATGAGGGGTATTATTACATTTTCGGCTATTGTCCTCATATTTTTGTCGCCATGAGGTATTATTTACATTATTTTCGGACTATTTTCATCTTTATCGCCATATTTATTACAACGTTTCGGGCTTTTATCTGTTTATATTTCTGACATGAGGTATTATGTACATTATTTACATTATTCGGACTATTGTCCTCATCTTTGTCGCCATATTTATACAACGTTTCGGCCTTCAGTAGTGATATGAGGGACCCAAAGAATATTTCTGATATGAGGTATTATGAGTTTTATATTCGGACTATTGTCCTCATCTTTTAATTTTATGCAACGTTTGGAGAACTTGGAGGTATTGGGGAAATTACATTATTCGGACATCTTTGTGACCATATATTTATACAACGTTTCGGCCTTTAACTGATAACATTATTCGGACTACATCTTTGTCACCATAAACAACGGCATCTGTCGTATTTCTGACATGAGGTATTATGTACATTATTTACATTAACTATTGTCCCTCATCTTTTTACCATATTTATTACAACGTTTCGGTGAGCGAAATAAAGGGTTCAGTTTGTCGATATTTTCCAACGTTTCGGCCTTCAGTACCTGATGAAGTACATTATTTACATTATTCGGACTATTACAACGGTCGAAACGTTGTGATAAATATAGGTGACATTAAAGACGAGGACAATATTCCATGAACAATGTAAATATTATTGACTATTGTCCTCATCTTTGTCGCCATATTTATTAATGAAGAATTTTGAAGGAAATAAAAAGGAATAGACACTTATACTTTCTATCAGAAATTACTGTTACTTAAAAAAATGCCTTTTGGAAAATTGTCACTCATAGGACATATTGAAGACTAGAGAAGCAGAAGGAAATAGTGGGTAAGCAACACACTCTCAAACTTTTTTCTATGCCGATGACACTAAAAATTGCTCCTATCTCGATAATAAGTCTAAACACTTCAATTTGGATAAGCATATTTCATTTTGGTCAAAAGGTTTCCCCGGGGGACCCCGACTGAATTTTTTCCGTTTGATTTATTTTAAATCTAAATTTGAACAAGGGAATTACTCCTATACAAAATATAGATGGAGAAACACAAAAGATTGGAGTACACATCACAAGATCATTTGGATCAAAGGGGCTATCTGGGGAGGGGGGCACACACACCCCTACTGAATTTTTTCCCCTTTCATTTAAATTAAATTAAAATTTGAACAAAGGAATTACGCATAGGCTACTTGGATAATTATATTTCATTTTTATCAGAGTGGGGGGGTAGGCACCCCCACACTGAAAAGTTTTCCCTTGATTTAAATTAAATTTTAATGTGAACAACGGAATAACTCCTATCCAAAATGCAGAAAATGGAGGTCACATAGGCAAGATCAAAATGAGACAATATGGACGACAAGTTGAGCAAAAAATCCCCAATCAGTGGATAGTGCCTTGCGTTACATATTTGTTTTGACAATTCAACTGTCATATCAATGTTGAAATCGTCCTATCGATTCATTCAATCATGTATTGCATCAAATACATATCAAAGGCAGCAGGTCAAGATATTTTACACAAACTGCCATTGAATTTTTCCCCTTTGTTTTAAATTAAGTTTAAATTTGAATAAGGCAATAATTCCTATCCATAATGTAGAAGGCGAAAGCCAGAAGATAGAGGTCACGTAGGTAAATTCATTGAGCAATATTGAAATGCATCATTTTTCTTAAAAAATTATAATAATGATTTGAAATCAATCATCATATTCTTACCAGTAAGGCGGGATAATTCGGTTAGTATATAATATAATGATTTGAGAAATAAGGCAATTTTGATAAAAAAAATTGAAATAATGTTATCTATTCCTTTGTTTATAACATAACATTTTCATTAAGAGGAAAAATACTTTATGTGTCTGTCATCAACGCAGACAAATTATTAAAATTAGAAAAGTAGGAAAGACCAAAAAGTTTTAAACTTAGAAACAATAACACAGCATCATTTTTTTTTTTAAATATTTTCTCCGGTGGGTTGATGAAAGGATATCTGCCTTGTCCTCGAAAGAAAACTGTTTTATGTTTCTATCATATGCTTAAATATATTACGTTCATCTGTGTGGCTTTGGTGTTACATCAAATAAAAGCATAATCGGATACAGCAACGGATATAAGATCAGGCCCTTTTCTACCGTCATTCACGATGAACTAAAATCCCTACGGAGACTCCCCGTAACTTGAGAGAGTATAGTGCCTTAAACGCAGACCTGACATCAAGTGGAACTCGTAGATACGAACCATCGTTAAAGAAGCACGTAAAACAATCAGCTCCTTGTACCGCTACAGTAAGCACCTGACACCTCATGATATTCTCTACATCATACTCCCAAGAGAATATTTCCCCGATCACTACAATCTTAACCTGTTCATGTCTAGGATTAAACGTTATCTTCCCCTCATATTCTTACAAACTACTTCCTAAGGAAACTCTCTACCACGAGTGGCCCTTGGGCCTTGTACAGGGTGAACCTTACTGTAATATGTATAAAATATATAATAAAATGATATGAATAATCGGAATTTATTATATCGCGTTGTGATGACCAAACAATGGATATAATAATAATATATCACATCAAGCCGTGTATACGGGTTAATGGAGATTAAATAATATATCACGTTGGCTAAGTTACCAAATAATAGGTGAGATATGGTTGAAAGGAATATCCTATCGTTTGCGCCACATCCCATAATATCCATGACATAATAAGAGCTTATTTCACGGACGGAACGGAATTGCTGAAATAAAAAAACGACAAATATGATTTCATCTCAGAAAAAGGTTTATAGTGTCATGAACAAAATTATATATACATATTTACGTTTTCCCTACACAGAGATAGTATAAGATGTATGCAACAACAAGCAAAAAATTCCCTGAAATCCGACGGTGATAAGCTAATTAATTTGATTTACGATACGCACTTATCCGCAAAGATCCCAAGACATTTTCCT